ACAGTAATAAAATTTTTAAACACAGACTTGATTGTCGTCAAAGGGCAAAATAGTTACATCTTATTAACTTTTTTAACATCATATTCATAAAAAAGAATTTCTTCATTTCTTTGACAAAATCTGAGCATTAAAGAAACGCTACCCTGCATTAAATAAAACAATGTCCAGTTTATTTATAAAGAATAAAATATACTGTCATTTGCCAAGTAAATGAAACAAAAATAACATAGCACAAATATTAAGGGTTATACAGCTGTTTCATTATATACTACAAGTAAAGTCATTTTATACAATAAAGGGAAAACATCACAGAATTTGCGAAAAGAAATAATAACGAATCTATAAAGACAATTTTTTAAAAAAAATCACAGTTTTTCTTTGATGAAAGTATACTGCGAATATGTTAACTCCGAAGTAAATAAGAATAATAAATAAGTTTTCTGGCTTAAATTTACAGGGTAAAATGGATTATATAATTAATTACAAATCACAATAAGAAAGATGCAGAACACGGAGGACATATAATAAAAGCACTTGAATTTAAAAACATTTAAAGCGAAGTAACAGGGAAAAAAAAAACACCTCTATACATGCACACACATATACACATATATATTGATATAATAGTTTCCCCAAATCGGTGACTTTATTGACTATGCTTTGGTTTTCAAGCTCAAAATACCCAATAATGTAGGCTAAAAGCGTGCATATGCTGTGATTCCATAAAAATAAAACTATTAATTTGTTTACAAAGGTATTGCAATTCAACTGCAGCTTTTAACAATTAAACATTAAAATTCTAATTGAAATGTTAATGATTTATATTAAGCTTTTCGACCGACTTTTTTATCATCAAATATCTCACTTCATATGACCTATTCATAGCCCACGTACATCAGATATTGCTACAACCTCACTTCCCTAACATTATGATTTTCTGAATCACTGCGGAACTGAATAAATGCTTCCAGGTTTTTCTAGGAAAATTGCTGAATTGTGAATCTATGTTAAAATATAGAAGGTACATTGTGTGCAGAAGATAATCAGTTTCTCAACTCTTTACAAAGAATTATAAATGAATGCATTGTTTCTTTCGAAAAAAGGATAGAAGGCTCAGTTTATGAACCAGCAACGATCTCACTTTTTTCTGGGTTAGTCTGAGGACGACTCAAGTGTAATATAAGTATAACGCCCTTATAGGTTCTAGATAATATCAAACATTTATTTAGATCTCGATTTCGAATTTGGGGGGGAAAAAAGGGAAAAAAAAAGAAAAAGGGGGAAAAAAGGAAAAAAACATAAAAGTAAATCAGACAAATAAGATAAACAAGTACAAAATAAACAAAAAAAAAATAAGAATTAATAAAATGAGAACAAAACAATGATTTTTCTAGCGTTAGTCTCTATCCCTGAACTACATAATCTTCAAAATTCTGCGTGTTAGACTCCGAAAACCAGATAACATAGAAAATAATTTCGATGCCTATAGTTGGACCTAAAGTCTAGTGCCTAATGAATTTGAGCCTTCAAAATAAATTCATCTGCATGAGGATACTGAAATTTTAGTAACTGGGAAAACTTTACGTTAATATTTCTTAAACTGAATTCTTTATTTCTCAGATGCCTTTTAAAAAAATTTTTGCTAAACAGTTGTAATTGTTAAACATGCGTTTGCCTAATTTCCCCTAACCTTGGTCTATGCATTTTCACGACTACCTACACATCTAAATCTTAGAGCCCAGGACTTATGCCTCAAATCATTTTGTAATTCTTCATCATTCTACTTTTCCATCATAAAAACATGAAAACTAGCCATTGGTGGGCGCTGAAATGAACTTGATTTAAGGATACAGACTATCTTAAAAATGCCCTCCTGCGTCCTTTAAAACAGACTTAGAAAAACAGTTAACCAATCAACTCAGGCAAAATCGGAAAAGCCTAAAACCGTTTATGTGAATTAGAAGTTTTCCTTATACACTGGTTATCATAAATTAACGAAAAATCACAAAAATAGCGATAACTAACTCAAAAATAAGCCAAACCGTGTAAAATTTGAATATGTTGGCCAAGTAAGAGTAGCTGAGTAAAACTACAATATGCAAATTAGTGGCGCTGCACTCGGAATACGTCATCTGCGAGGAGAATAAAAGTCCATGTTTGAGAGCAAGCCCACATATTTCACTGTGATAGTGACATTAGAAATCTGAGATAGCCAATTCGTAACAATGATCTCCAGGCATCATTTGCCTGCAGAACTACGACAGGAAGCCATTGGGAGACTAGAGGCAGGACAAAGTCAAACAGAAGTGGCCAGATGGCTAAATGTGAGTCCTTCTGTGGTTCATAGACTTTGGAAGCAATTTCAAATCACAGATTTGGCACCTAGTAGGTTCAGTCAAGGACGGCCAACTGCTACGACGAGCGCCGATGACCGATATTTGACATTATGTGCACTCAGGTATAGAACCGCTACTCCGACTCTTCTTAGATCCTCCCTTGCTGCAGCCACCGGAAGGTTGGTGTCAACGTCAACTGTGCGTAGAAGGCTTCACGAAGGTGGGTCTGTATGCGAGGCGAACTACCATTTGCATTCTGCTCAAGTCACGCCATAGGAGGGACCATTTGCAGTGGGCACGACAGCATGTGCACTGGGCGCCTGAGCAATGGAGGGCTATTCTCTTTACGGATGAGTCCAGGTTTAGTGTAGAACGCGATGGTAGGCATTATTTGATATGGAGAGAACCTGGAACCCGTTATCATCCGTCAAACATCCGTGAAAGAGATACATACGGAAGAGGCAGTGTCTGTGTTTGGGGTGGCATCTCTTTGGGTGGACGCACAGACCTACATGTTTTTCCAAGGGGAACCGTGAATGCTCATGTTTATAGAGATGACATCCTTGATGCTTATGTGCGCCCATACGCCGGGGCAATAGGTGATGCTTTCCTGTTACAGGACGACAATGTAAGACCACACAGGGCTCGCATCGTATATGATTATCTTCAACAGGAAACAATTATGCACACGGAGTGGCAGCTCGATCCTCGGACTTGAATCCTATCGAGCACGTTTGGGATGTTTTACGGAGACGTTTAGCTGCTTTAAATCTGCCACATAGACCCTTGCCGCGCTTGCAACTGCTTTGCAAGAGCAATGGCTCTCGTTTCCTATGAAACTGAGAGACCGCATAATTGAAAGCATCACACATCGCTGAATGTGCTGTATTACTTCTAGAGGCGATTATATTCCATATTGAATGTACTTTTACTATAGCAAACTGACATCTTCGATTTTTTCATTTTATACATGTGCTAATTTCTATACTACCATAATTGTCTGGTAATTTCTTTTTACGTTATTTGATACCTTACTATGTGTTGTATATTGTGGGTAAGTTTCATTAAATTCTACATGTAACTTTTTCAGTAATCGTGATTTTTCTTTAATTTATGATAACCATTATATTATGCAAATGTTCTGCTTCTTAATTCTCATTTAACTCCAACCTCATTATTCGCATTATAAAGGCAGTTCTGCATACTATCATTTGGAAAAAGCCAGCAGGAACAATTTTGTGAAAGTTATGTTTTAATGTAGCTTCCACGGTTCCAAATATTTAACAGCCATAATTACTGTTATGTCATTAATTAAATAACATTAATATTTCTGTTCTTTTTTTAGCGCGAGATAGTTTGTTCTGCTTGATATCGTATAAAAAGCTAAAGCTATGCTTAATTTAATGAAAACATAATAAAAATAATAGTACTTTCCAGGGTGCATTGAAAAATAAAATATTGTAAGAAAAGTAAGCTTATGTTAGTTTGTTTTACACATGTAAGAATGAGTTCAGGTTGAATAAAATCCATAACCGTGTGATTTTACTTCAATAAATATTCTACGATATGTCACGTAGAAACTTCATCAAAAGAATCTTTCAGACTACAAATAATTGTCTGATTCATTTCTTTCACATTTTATAACGTTACTCATTAGCGTTGAAATTTTGTAAAATTTTTAAATGCATATAAAACTAAAAGGATCTTTAGAGTTTCTCAAAATATTACATAGCAGTGTGCCTTTTGTTTAAGCTGTTATAATTGCAACTAATTTATTTACAATAAAGAGAAATATTCAATGGAATTTGACTTTCAGGTTCTATTTACACTAAAGAGATGAAATTTGTGTTTCGAGTGAATGGCGAAGATAGCGATTGTTTGTAGTAAACATTCGAAAGTTATGAATCACGCAATTAATTAAACCGCGTGAAAGTATATACAATTGTAATTTAGTACACCTGTTTATAATTTAAACTTTCCTACTCAGATCTTATAACTTTTAGTCACTTAATGTATAATTACTCATGCACGAATATTAAAATTCTACGCCGTATATAAAATATTTTAGATAAAGGAAATCGCAAAGCAAACTTTGATTTCAGCCAATCATGCGATTTTAGAGTGGAAGCTATTTGTGGTTTATGGCATAAATTTAGAAATTCTCATTCAGATAAGGCCATGCAACAATTCACACTTTTACCTTACTCAAAGTCCTTATTTATAAGTTCTCCTGACTTCTAGCGATAAATGACGTTACTAAAATTTTTGCTTCTAAAAACAGTTTACATTTTAAGATACAGCTGAAAAAGAACTAATGACGCTAGTATTTATTTTTGAAATTTACTACCCTTTTGTATCAGAAACGACACCTGCATCAAGATAAATTATCTCATTTTTCATAAAAACAACAATGTGCTAGCAGCATTTTTCATTAAAGTTTCCTACTTTGCGTATTCAGCATTTAAAAGGTATCTCACAGTCATGCCTGATTTAATATAAGGTGCGACATTAAAAAAGCTGTAGTCAGGAATTGAAGTTTTCTGAAATTTTCTTCAATTTGAGCTATTAATACCATTTCCATGAAATTAGCATTGGGCGTTTCCAGTCATGGAAGCTGGAAGTGGTATGATAAGCCAATTTATGCATATAAAACACGTTACAAAATTAGCAGCATGAGCATATAACATTTTATAGATTACAAAAGTAACGACAGTAACAAGTAATGCTTTACAAATATACAGTGTAAGAAGGTCAGTGCTCAATATATTACAAAAATGGCAACACGAGCAATTTAAATTCTACATATCAACAATTTTTCAAATTTTCTTCCGTTTCACAAATATAGCACTTATGTTGAGATATTCTTCTAAAGAAATAAATACAAAGTTATATTTTAGGTGAAATTCGTAACAAAGTGAGCAGTCTTTAATTCATTAATGACAGTTGAACTATATGAGTCAGCTTTGATAAAGGTATCAGTTTTTTAGAATTTACCGAATATATAAGTATCAGTAAATGTATTTTATTTGAAATGAACTTTTCGTTGTAGAAACTACCTTTTTGAATTCACAGGGAAAAGCGCATTTGATCAAGTCAGAAAGAATTTTCAGATTTATAACACCTAAAACATTTCTGTGAAACTGGATCTAAAGTATCTGGCGAGGGAGACGGAATCAGCTTTTTTTGTCACTCAGTCAATTTAATGTCAGAAGTAGGAAGATTATTTTAGGAATTTTAATATTGGCGTTGGTTTTAATAAAAAATGAAACAATTTGTGTTTGAATCAAATAGACTGCATATTCTGAAAAAGGTAATCTAAAATATGATCATTAGAGAAACACCATTTTTCATATTAAAACTTGTATTAAAATATTGCATTTAAATACACATTAAAATATTAAATTTAAATGCTACATAGTGCTGAATAATAAAAACTGAGAATTTCTTTCTAAAAGATTCTTATTGGTTTTAGATCTTCAATCATAAATAGCAAATAACAGATGATAAAATGTTTACTACTTACATTCTATAAAGATTAGGAGTATGTTCAATTAAAATTAAACTTGTGAATATATGATAATATTTTTGTGTATTATTTAACACAATCTAATAGAAATTTGACATTCTTTCTCGTATCAGCGATCAAAGCTTTAATGTAAAATATTTCAGTCTTTTAATTAAAAAGAGTAATTTTTTTTTAAAAGGCTTTTCTTTTTTTCGGGGGGGGGCATATGTTATTCTACACTAATATCATTACGCAAATTGACTTTATATAAATTCTACGTTTAATAAAGTGCTAAAGGTAAACTTGCAATTAGAGCACCTTTTAAGTATGTCCGACATTAAAATAAGAAATAATTCGAGGAATATAAATATTCTCCTGGTGCAGCTACTAGAGTAAATGCTACTTATTGAGCTCCCATTTAGAATTAAGAATATGTCTGAAAGTTTTGCGTTCAGTAATTTCGAGATAAAACTGAAGTAGTACAGATAAAATAGAGGGCCAACTCGATAAGAAAATTGCAGATATTTCATAGACTCCTTTTCATTGCAAATGTTTGACTTCTTTTCATAATGTACTGAGTTTCCTAATCATAATACTATATGATAAATATCATTTGTATATCAATAATGATTGGCTACATTAATTAATTTTCATGTGGGCTTTTCATTCACCTCTATTTCTCATAAATTTAAGAGAAGACATTAATTCCTCTCTCTTTCTGTTAGTGAGAAGGAAAAGGGTGCATTCATTGCGTATATGTTTTTCTTTTCTCCCCCCTCCCCACTTTTTTGTACGGATAGTGTATTAATTAAAACGTAGAAAAGTATCTAAATACTAATTTAGTAAGTAAAAGAGCAATATTTAACTAAATGTATCATAAAAATATTTTAAAAGTGTGTGAGAAATACTCATTTTTCTTGCAAAAATAGAAATGCATTGTACCAAATCTACATTTTGATTGCATTTTGCTTATATTTTTAATCGCATTAATTTATAAATGATCAATGTAAAGCCTACAAAATTATGGAAATTTATCAAAAATATGTGAATGCCAAAATATCTTAATATAGTTGCTTCTGTTCATTTCGCAAATAAATTAGAAAAAAAAAAAAAAAAAAAGAAAGAAAGAAAAAAGAAAGGGAAAGATTAGTGTGAGAAAACATTCAGTTCTCTCACTACATCCTGCAAACATCATATCACAGAAAAATCTGAACAGGATGAAAGATTATGAGAGATTTCCTTTTCAATAATGTGCGTCAACATTAAGCAAACACTGCATAATCGGGACTAAAGCACTTAATGGCTACAACTCGACTGTTTTCATATGGAACTAAATTAGAACACTCCCGTGTTTTTTAATTTTTATAAGAAATATATAGCAGTTGACAACCTTCAAATATTATGCACGTAGAGCAGTTGACGAAAAGACATGAAATAATGCACTCTGTCCTGAATCACAAATAGATTATCACAGTCGTAAGGCATAAAGCTTTCTTTAAAGCAAATTGTACTCTATGACTGAATTATGTATTTCAGGAAATTTCACCTTTTGAAATTACTAAGGAAAAATTTGTCGGTAAGCTATTTGCGGCTTGAGCAAAAACTAACAAAAATGGTCTTCATTCTTATGGTTTATTTCATTTGTTCAACACTTAAGCCATTTTCTTTCGGATGGACAATGGCAATTTCGTTCGGCTGGTTTTCTTCGATTTCCTCATTAACTGGAGGAGCTTTGGAACCTCTTCGAGATTTTACTGAGCTGCCCCTTCGTCGACTGTCAGGAGATTCAACTTTGTCGCTGAGATCTTCTTCCATCAGAATATTCGCATCAAGACCTATGGTTGTACCAATGCGCAACTTAGCCATTTCGAAAGTAGCCGATAACTTTTCTTGAACAACATTGATACACATAGATGTTAAGGCTAATCCAAAAAGCAAATAAATAAAGGTTGCCATCATATACATCGGATGGTTTGGTACATAATCACCAAAACCAATGGTACTCATTGAAATAAAAACAAAATAAAAGGATTCAAAGAAAGTCCAATCTTCCCACAGTGTGAATATAAAAGCCCCTAACATCATATAAGTAATAAGCAAAATCACCGCTAAAGACACGGGAAGATTGAATTCATCATCAATATCTTCTTCTTGAATTGCGAGGGCTTTAGTACCACCTTCATTCTCCTCGACCGTCTCCTCTTCTTCTTTCTTAGTTTCCTTCTTCTTTTTATCTTTTTTCTCTTTCTCTTTGCCCTCAACTTTGTTTTCACCGTCTTTAGCTTTATTTTCTTCAATTTCTACGTCTTTATCCTCTGACTTGGAAGTGTTCTCGGCACCAGTTTTCTTCGACCTTCCTTGATATACCATGTAAGGCATTTTATTCCATGCTACTGTCATGTACTATAAAAAAAAAAAAAAGAATATTATATATACATGTAAGAAAAAATAATTTAGTGTTTTATAGAAATTTTCAAATACATATTAAAGCTAAGATTAATAATGCGACTAGCGAATATTGCGCGTAAAGCAACAGAAAATAACAAACTAAAATTAAATATATCTATCACTCAATGCCACCAGGATAACTTTCATCTAGAAGGAATGCCGTGCAAAATATGGTGTTATCTTGGTGAATATAAGTAGTTTATAACGTGAGACAAATAGTACCTATAAATGTACGAAGCACTTTTGGCTTTCTCACTGCACGCTATCGTGGTGCAGTTTGGTAGACTATCTGACTGGCAATAGGAAGATGCAGAGTTCGAGTCCCAGTAAGAGCATAGCTGGTCTTTCATATTTCTGGCTTTAGGAAAATTTAATGTCTCTACAAGTGGCTCAGGTTAAAATTCAGTAGACGATAATTCGGCACCACTTTAATTGGCGAATGATCCTCCTTTCCCACTCCCCATCGCTTTTTCAGTGAGGAAGAATATAAGTAATCTGCGCCTTCTTCATTGCGTGCTCTTATGATGTTACCGGTACCATGTCCGGTTAACAGTTGGAAGATCCGGATTCTAAATCCCGACAGTGAGGGCATAGTTAATTTTCTTACCTTTATGAGCTTTGAAAAATCTGATAATATGTAAGGTATTTCTCCCATTTTCTTAGCGTGCCTTCATGGTGTAGTGATTCTGCACGCTGGGCCGGTATTCCAGAGGTTCGTGGTTCGATTTCCGGCGAAGGCGATTGCTAATTTTTCATCTTGCCTGCTTCCAATTAACCTAATGTCTCTACAAACATTACAAGCGATGCTGAAATATTTGAGATGAAGACAGTTATACTAAATAAGGCAGCTGAAAGAGTGGGGGGGGGTTGAGAATGGAGAAGTTAATACCAAATGTCGGGGCATATAATGCAAACGAACAGAGTGTAAAATGCTGAATATATTGGGCGTATATTTGCAAAAACGAGTACAGCGGCCATGTAAACATTTAAAATAGAATGTTAAGTCAGATACAATAACACATCAAACAAATATTAATTTAGAAGTCAAACAACAAAAATCAGCGTTATATTGCGCTTTTGCAGCTGAGGATGATGGTTCGGTAAAACCATCGAAACTAGTCCTGTGAAAATTTGAAAATATAACGCTGATTTTTGTTGTTTGACTTCTAAATTAATATAATGTTAAGGGGCCCACCAGCGGCCGAGCGGTAAAGACGCTGAACACTGGTAGTTCGGTCCCGAGGTTCGAATCCCGCGAACGGGCTGGCTGCATGGGCGTTTTCGTGGCTTTCCCCATGTGTAACGTGTATACGAGCCAGTTTCCCTTAGAAAGTTCTCCACGAAGGCATCCCTCCCTTTAGGCAGATAGTCCTCGTGTGCTTTGATATAATTGAATAATCCAATCCAATCCAATAGAATGTTAAGTGTTTAGTAACACGGGTAATCTTTATATAGTCACTGCTCTTATTTATGCCTGCTGACGAAATTAAATTACTAGTAAACTCTTGAACATTTATATATATATATATATATATATATATATATATACGGAGTCGGAGGAAACATATCTTCGGTTATTGCCAGAGGGCATAACCGAGGTATGAGATTAGGTTATTTGAGTGCGGCAAAGCACAAGAGGCTATCTGTTTAAAGGAAGAGATGCCTTCGCGGAAGGCTTCCTAAGAGAAATTGGCTTTTAATCACGGTACACTATGGAAAGCATATTAAAAACTATGGAAAGCATCCATGCAACTTGCTCACTTATCTGAGTTCGAAACCAGGACCAACAATCAAAACTCAGCGCTCTTAACCACTCAGCCACTAATGCGCCAAACTAGGTATGAGAAAAATATATTTTCGAATATCAAGAAGATATGCAACAACATGAAATATGTTCCGATAAACTTGTAGAACAAACAAAGGGAAAATGCAATAATAACTAATAAATAAATACAACTTTGATTGTATAATTCTACAATTTATAAGTTATGTGTCTCAAGTAGAACAAAATCTGGGAAACAGGTATTTTTCAATCTGCATATTGTTAGTCATTTTGAAATTGCATAATATCCCATTTTGGAATGAAGAATTCATCGTTTTATTTTTGTTAAAATGGAAATATACCATTTTGATTAATGTTCGTTGCTTTAAAAAATATTAGGTTTTTAAAGGACATAAAACCAAAGGTAATTATCATCGTGATGTCGACACATTAACTTAAACGGCTTCACAACTTGCTTGGGCATCTATCTAATGAGCTCTTGCAAGGGAACTGTTTGTCTTAATAAATCCTTTCTATAATTTCTCCTTCCCCATAAATATATATAGATATATAACACTGACAAAAATATTGACAAATACCTAAAAACAAAAATATCTTCATTTTCGTTATATCGAAATGATGTTATTAAATCAAATTTACTGTTAGTATGGTTTGGTTTGGTTTATTTAATTATGGCAAAGCACACTAGGGCTATCTGTTTAAGGGGAGGGATGCCTTCATGGAGGACTTTCTGAGGGAAACTGGCTCGTATACACGTTACACATGGGAAAACCACGAAAACGCCTATGCAGCCAGCCCGTTTACGGGATTCGAACCTCGGACCGAACTACCAGTGTTCAGCAGCAACTTTAACCCTCGGCCGCTGGTGGGCTTATTGTTAGTATGAGCAGTGCCGTTTAAGCCAGTCTGAGGCTTTAGTCAGCATCTTTCGGGAGCCTTGAGTGCCCACTTATATGGTATTTCTCCCGCCTTCCTAGCGTGCCTTCATGGTGTAATGGTTCTGCACGCTGGGCCGGTATTCCAGAGATCGGTAGCTCGATTCCCGGCGAAGGCGAATGCTAATTTTTCAATTCTCCTGCTTCCAAAAATATATCTAATGTCCCTACACACTTACTTCTCTTTTTATTTTATAAGCAGTAATTTTTTTAATTGTGTAGTTTATAATTTCATTTATAAATTAGAAAATTATAAAGTTAGGAAATAAGACTTGCACTATATTTTTCTAATCGCAGTAATTTTATAATTGTATTGCTGTACATTTATTACATTCATCACATTCCTTGTGTATATGCATTTCTGTCTTTACTAATAAATTTATCGCCTCAGCTCATGTTAATCTTCTAAATTAAACTTTATATGGCCTCTAGATGTGTTTTTATAAACATTAGAATACATTACATTTGTATGCTTCTAGGTGCGTTTTTATAAACATTAGAAAGAAGGTGATGCATTTAGCATCACCTTCTTTCTTTGTTTTATCGCCCAACTCTTCCCATGGCTTTATTTAAATAGATGCATAAAAGTACTGTATTTTATCTATTATATGCCAGTGCTTATTATGATGTAATGCTTAATTAAATAACCGATTTTCTTGGCAATAAATTAATTTCCATTGATTCTGTTTTTCCATTGGCCTTCTCCAGTATCCAAAATAATATAATTTTAAATAAGCATATGCAGCTAGTATTTAAATAGCTAACACTGGAAATACTTGAAATTTGTTTATTCAGCCAATCAATTATGCTTTGTCATGGCGACGTGCTGATGATGTACAGAGAATGATATGTTAATCTGTTAAAAGTTGATGTTATTGCGTGCCATTCGATTTAAATATTATGGTTTAGTTTCAAATCCCGCAAGGATCGGCATGAAATTTTATTTAGTTATATAAAGTATACAGACTGAAGCAATAAATAAAGTTGTTGAATTTATTTGTGTGTGATATCTGAAGCTCCAACAATGAAATTATTTAAACTGTGATGGTGATATTTCGCACGAATAACATAAAATTGGTTTGTATTAAATTAATTAATTTAAACTACATGTTGTGCAAGTCAGTAAATTGTTTTTCATAAATTATGTAAATACGCATATAGTTATTTTATCAAGTTCTGTTAAGCAGATTATTTTTTAAATGTGGTTTACAAACAAATTTACTTATAGAGGGGCAAAGGTTTTGCAATTTAGAGCCTATCGGGTACAGATTTTGAGACAATTGCTGCATCTGACGAACTTTAACCATATCAATGTTTCTGGGTGTTCAATGTGCAAAGCCTATCAGGCCTTCCGAAACAAGAAACACGAAGAATGAGCAATGTCCTAAGTAGGATTTGTACTCCGAGCCTCCCACCTGTTAGCCAAAAATACTTCCAATAACACCACAGAGGCACTCGTTAAGAAGGATTTGGTTTGTTCATTTGATTATGGCAAAGCTCTCGAGAGCTGTCTGCTTAAGGAGAGGGTTGCTTTCATAGAGGAATTTCTATGGGAAAGTGGTTCGTATACATGTTACACATGGAAAAAAAACCCATGCAGCCAGCCCGTTCGCTGGGATTCGAGCTCCGGACCGAACTATCAGTGTTCAGCGACTCAACCGCTCGGACCCCATGCTAAAAAGGAAGAAAATTCCTTATAAATGAGGGCCTACCAGCAGCCTAACTATGAAGCTGTTGAACACTGGTAGTTAGGTCCAGCGCTTGAAATTCGGCGAGAGGGCTGGTTTCATAGACACTTTCATGGTGTTCTCCATGTGCAACGTGTATACGAGCCAGTTTCCCTTAGAAATTCCCCCACGAAGGATCCTTCTAAGGTATAGCTCCCTTTAGACAAATAGACTTTGCGTGCTTTGCCATTGTCAAATAAACCAAACCATTTAAAAAATTTTTGCAAAGCTTTTGATAAGATTTAAGTGATACCCTTATTTTAACATATACTAAATGTCCTTAACTTAGTTCGAAACTTTTTTTCAATCATTACAGTGTAAGCTTTCTTACTGCTTTATCGCTACATCATGATGTCATGCGCAACGGCTCTGTAGCTTTTGTTTATACGACCTGTATTGAAAAATACTACATGTACGAGGTGTGACCACACACACACACACACACACACACACACACAAAAAAAAAAAAAAAAAAAAAAAAAAAAAAAAAAAAAAAAAAAAAAAAAAAAAAGGAGAAAAAAAAAAACTTAGTGTGTATCTTAAAAAAAAGTGGAGTTGGCAACAACTGTTTTCGTGACGTCATGCTACACACCTCCTCTAACCACGAGGCCAGTTTCGACTTAACCGATCACGCCAGTGGAGAGTACTGCGTCATTGAGTGAACACGTGCAACTGCATTCTGCTGGAAAAATCTCTAATGTAAAAAACGAACTTTGAATTAACATCGCGTTTCTTGTGAAACTTAAGAAATCAGCCACGGAGGAAAAATTCCAAATATTAACCGAGGCTTATGGAGACGATACTTTGTCTCATCCAAATATTGAACCTAAGCGGTTTTCAGGGCGGTTTTAAGGGCAGCGTAGAAGATGATGAACGTGCTGGGCGTGCAATTCATCATGATTAAATGGGTTCCCAGTGGTCAGGCTGTTAATCAACACTACTACATTGAAGTACTAAAAAGACTTCATGAAAAATTAGGAAAAAAAGGCCACATTTATGGAGTGATGGATGGCTGTTGCATCAGAACAATGCGCTTCCTCACACGGCCCTATCTGCCAAGCAGTTTCTGACCAGCAAAAACATTACTGTGACGGGGTGTCCTCCTTAGTCACCTGATTTGGCTCCATTCGACTTTTTTTTATATTTCCTAAAGTTGAATCTTGCTTGAAGGGAACTGAGAAATAGAAGAAATTACAATAAAATTTCTGCAAGAATACAGTATTTTTATTGCAAAATCGCTAAAGGGAGAAATAATGAGATTCGTTTGATAGACAACCTATTAATAATGCTGAAGCTGCGCCAGGGTGGTTGCGTTGATACGTAAGTACCGCGAAAAAATAATTATAATAAAAGTAAATTAAATGGCACTGTATTTTGGAATTTCCCTAACTATAAAAATGAATATAATATTACATTTGCAAAATATAGAATTTTAAAAGCATAAAATAAAATATTTGGGGGATGTCTTTAGTCATGTGATGTTTTTCAGTTGCACAGACTTTTACCATAATATTTTGTATCACGATGCCTTGAAACTGCAAAGTTTTGTTATCGCTTTATTTGGTACCGTGACATCTTATACTGCAGTGTTTTGAAAATTTGCAATGCTTTATTTTTTACCATCATGTTTGAACCATAATGTTTTCTTTCTCACCTTATTTTCTTCCCATTTGTTGAAAGGAAACTGAATACACACCTGCACTGGGACTGCTGTAGCTCGTCTTCCCATTTTCCTAGCTTTGCGGAACTTTCCAGTGTGATAAAAAAGCTTGATATAGAAAAATGCAGCTTTGATCCAACGAGTAAACAGCTTTCCGAGATCTGCAAGAACCATGAGTAGAAACGGGATACCAATGAAAGCGTAAACAATTGTGATTGCTTGGCCCGCTACAGTGGCTGGAACGATGTTTCCATACCCTAATTGAAATATAACTTACATTAGAAAAAGAAGACTTTTAGCAAAGATATTGGTACCGTAAATCAAATTTCGAATATACTGTCTAAAACTCTTGGTAACAGCAATTTGCCTTAACATATTATTAAGTATTAAGCAATCGTTACTGATCAAGTTAAGCAGTTAATGAAAGCAAAGTACTTACCTTATTTTATGCAGTTTAAATACGAAATAACTTTTCGGTATTTGATCGCTGAATTATGAAACATAAAGGCATTATACAGTAATATAGAGTCTTAAGTTTTTGCACAGCACCACTTTCTACCGTATAACTGAAGGTGAGCACCTGATTTAAGAAGTGAATGTTTATACTCTATGCTCTCCTTGTTTTAAAAGGGTGATAATTTACATAAAATAGTATACGGACTAAATTACCTTTGGCTCAAATATAGTTCTTTATTACCTTTTTTAACATTATCGTTGGACTAGAAGTTACTTCAACGTGTGTGCCAATTGATCAAAAGTCTTCTTTTAATTAATTGATATAGGCGCTCTTAACTGAAGGTATGGGTTCAAATGAACTCCAACGATGTGTAGGGAATGACACCACTGCAATCCGCTGTTGAGCAAGCTGTCCTTGTACTCAAGTTTTGTTTTTCACACATCTTCTTAGATAAACATTTGCCAGGTACTGTGGCTGGCCCTTATTCGGTCATTTTTCTTGGAATTTTAACGCTTTATGCATTACTCTGATTAATTTCAGTTTCAGTATCATTCGAGTCAAGTTATACTCTCAAAGGAAGATTACCCTTTTTTCAAAATCAAAGGTTATATAATTGACAAAATGCGATCAAAATATTTAAAATATGTGAATTACAGTTATTACGACTTTCGTATTGCAAAATGACGAATCTAAACTTAGTTTAATATTAACAAATATGAAATTTTAAAATAAATTCAGAAGAATATACATACCACATTTAGCAGATTGTATCCAGAAAAAATACTCAAGCAAATAATGACATATATTAAAACTTACGAGAGTACGAAGTTCTGATATTTACCTAAACGGCCCCTTGACTTCGATATATTTCACTTGCATGGAAAATCCTCTTTCTCCAGATAAAATAATAATATTCTAGATTCAGAGGTTTTTATCGACAGGGACGTCGCATGTGTCGCGTAATTTAAAATATGTTATATATACACATCTTGCCATCAGTTACTTGTACAGATTATACAAATAACTTGTACAGATTATACAATTTGAGATAAGATATAATTTCCGATTGGCTAGAATGGTTAGTACCGAAGTACCTAAGCAAAGTTTTTGAATTCATACTGGTCATGTTGTGAGTACAGCTAGTCAAAGTATGAGTCAACTAGAAAAGTACAAGTTTGATTTTCAAAGCTTCGGAAATGAGGAGTTCTTGAAGCTCCTGCAAGTCTTGGTGAGCTATTTAAGCTAAAACTCAACATTAAATAAATTTAGTTATATTATATACATGGAGTATCAGAAAAATAATGCAGGATTTAAATTTACAAATCGAAATTTTATTTGCGCATGAATTTTCAAAATTGGAACATGCTTTTAAAGAGTAAACAATGCGATTAAATATGGAAAATAATATCCAGAAAATGTCCATGTTTCGGGGGCCGCATGAAAAATGGCGCCTTTCTGCTGGAAGAACATCTCATTAACATCAAAACCAAAGTCCGTTGCTTGCAACTGCGACTGCAAAAATGCTTCTATCTTCTCTCACAACCAACTCACTAGTAACCGGAATGTGGCTACAACTGGTGCGCAGTTTAAATTGTGCGTTAATGATACTTTTGTGTCGTACTGGTCCACAGCAAGAGATTTCCTATCCGTCTCTTACCAGTTCTTTAATGAGAAATCGCGCGTTAATTTTGAGTCACGCTTTATATCTATATGTGTGCATTTCGAGGAAGAACGTGTACAGAATATCTCTTCTTTAAGCAGCAAAAATGTTCTGCATATAAGAAACAAAAGGAACTGCATATAAGCATGTCTGCAATAGGTAAAATATTGAAAAATTGGATAAAAGGATTTTTCCTAACTTCTCGAAAGATAAAAAACTAACTTTTAATGACCTCTTCTTTGTAGTTGCAGTAGCTTGAAGGGTAAAATTTACTAAATTATGACTTACAATGTGAAAAGGATTTTTTATAACAGGACTCGTGAATCCCGTCAAAATTTATTGCAAGAGTTAACCCCGAGAAGAAAATCAAAAACAAGAAATTTCATCTCAGAAAGATTTTATTTGAAGTGTTTTAGACAGCGATTAGCTCGATTTCAGACTGCTACAGCATGGTCGAGCCTTCACTATATTTGCAAATTGCAATTTTTACAAAATGCATATATGAAATGATGGAGGTACTGGAAAACACTAACCATACTCACCCGCTACGACCCCATGGGCCAATGATCTCTTCACCAAAAATGAAATAATAGTATAGTAATCTGTTTCAACAATAGAGAGGAGGCTACCTGTACCTTACGGCTATCAAGAGAAGCGGACGTGCTGATGGGGTGTACGATGTTTTCCAATAATTTGGTAGAAGGTATTAAACTCAGCAGAAGATTATATTGAGCGACTGTGAGGATTTGTACCTATGGTAAAACAGTCTTTTCCCTACAATCGATTTGTTGCCAGTATCTTTATACCAAAACATTGGCAAGATACTGAATATTATAATGGTAGATATGTTCTCCAAGAAAGAAAACCTTTATTATTGCTTTAAAAATAACCTGATAGTATGCTAAGATAAATATTAGGCATAAGTCTTCTATCATCACGCTAGAAGGGTGTATAAAAAATTTCTCCTTAATTTCTCGTTTGGGAATGAGGTCTCTTATATTTTCTCTCAATGTAAATTCTAGCATCCGTAAAGAAAAAAAAAATTCCCAACAAAATATTAAAATAAAATTATTCCCTCCCAATAGCAATGACAAATAATTATGCTAAAATTACCCTGGAGACAAATATTGCAGCCAAGCTGACGACATTTGGTGACTTTTACCCACACTGGTGGCGTTTCGGAAGATTTCGGAAAATGCATTTTCTAGGCCCTAAAAGAAATTTTCCTCAAAAGAGTGTTTATTCGTCCCCTAAAGGAAAACTACTGATAGGACGTTGTGGCCAGCCGTCTGTCAGTTGGATTCGAGGCACTTGTCCGTTTTACATTGTTGAGCTTCTCTTCTGTAATTACTGCTTTAGATTTTACTCTGGAAGAACTTTTAATCTTCTGCTTCGTACGTAAAGGATACCTTATTCCTTCTTTTCACTGTTTGAGATATTTATACCTATTTAACATGTTTATAAGTGCAGTTAACTCTCCTCTACCATAGTTATTTAAGGACATCTTCCCGAATCCATGGCTTGCAAAAATAATCCAATGAAGACTTAAATGTTTCAATGAAGAATTATAAAACCCTTTAGTGAAATATATATATATTTACTCTGTGTTACTCACTTTTCCGCTTTTTCTCCTCCCTTTGAAAAATAATCAAAATGAAAATTTAGTAATGTAAATAGAAAACATTTAATTTTGTGTCTGTGTGTTTTTCCTTATTGAACTTTTCACAGAGAGGATCTCCCCCCCTTCCTTATTCAAGCTAGAATTAACTTATCAAATTATTTACCAAACATTTTAATTTATTTTCTTCGAATATAATATATTCTTTTTGTAAATATTAAAGCGTTTGCCGAAGCGTCATATGAATTTTCGTAGCGCTGCGACATATAATTCTTTTAATGGTACTTTTCAGAAAATTTAATTTTAAATAATTATTGTGAATTGATTCTAATTAATTTTATTTAGAATTAGAAAACGCTATACAATCACTAAAGCTGAAAAAACAACTAATAACAAATAAATAAGAAATAACACTACTAATACGAGCAGCCTGACACACAAAAACATGGAAACCAAAGAAAATATTTCAGCTGAAGAAATAAGACTAAGAAATACTTATTTAAGACGAAATAAGTCTTAAATAAAGTACTTAAAAATTACAGTACACAATGTTTTCTCTTGAACGGTTTCAAATTCACCTCTGAGAGATCCAGAATAGTGCGATGCATGATATCAGAAGATGATATTTACTTTTTAGCCGCGATTTGTCTTGAAAACAAAGCGAATTTTTGAGGAACTTAGGTTGAGGAATCCTGGAGATAATCTAAGAAGGACATTAATTTTTAAAAATTTTTTTGGAAATTTCTTTAAAATGCTGGCCATCCCTATTCAAGTAGGTAAGAGAGCTGAACACTAGTACTCGTTTGAGCTGGATTCTAACACCGGCGAACGGTCTGGCTGCGTGGGCGTTTTCCTGATGCATAACGTAAACAGAGGCGATTTCTATTTGAAATTCTTCTACTAAGGCACCCTTTTCCTCTTTAGGTATATAACTCTAGCCCTTCGGCGGTTGCGAGATTAAGCAAATCTTTTCTTTCCAAATACGCGCGATATCTGTCAGTCGTAAATTTCTAATGCGAGATGTTTCCGTTTGCGCTCACTGCGGTAATTGGAATGTGAGCTGAGCACGTTGATGACCATCAAAAGGCTAGTGTGCTTTGCCGTGTTCAGTTAAACAAGCAAACATTTATAATACAGGATTCACAAAAACATATAATGCTATTTCCTTTTTCTAAGAAAGAAAATAATTAGGATATTCGAAATTAAATATCTGAATAAAAGTAACGAGCTTTCCCTTGACCTTTTACCAATAATTTCAGCTAGCTCACTTCAGAGTTTCATTCGCAACGTTGAATGTTATACTGGTTTGAAAAGAAATATGGCTGGTTCTATTCCTAAATTAAGTAGCTCGACCTGGGTTCAAATCGCGACGCACGGGCTGGTGCATCGGAATTTTCGTGTTTTTCTCCCATGCGTGATGTAAGTACGAGGCAGATTTCCTCTAAAAAGTCTTCTATGAAGGCGTTCTTTTCTTCAGGCAGATATCCTTTGTATGCTTTGCCCTAATCCGAATAACCCAAAATAATCATATATCTTCAACAAAGGGAAGGCTGTCAATTAATCCTTGTAATAATCCTTGATTTTCGATTGTGAAACGAGAACTTTTTGACAAAATCTAGTGAATCTTGAGTATTGATTTTCTTTTCAAATCTTCACTATTTCGCTGTGATTTCTCTCTATGTGTAGCGTGAATACGAGCCATTTTCATTAAGACAGTCCTCCACGAAGGCATTCCTTCTCTGAAGCAACTAGCCCTCGTGTATTTTGACATAAGCCAAATAATCGAATTCAATCCATTCACTGTTTCATTGAAAATTCTTTGTAAATGGTTCTTAAAATTTTGCAATTCTCGACGATATGTAATTAAATTATCAATTCAATTAGTTATGATTAAAATACAAGAGTTATGAGTTATTTAGCTTGTTCGTATAAAAAAATTATTGCTTTAGTTGAATTTGAGTTTGTCACGCAAATTGCAGTTATTTACAATTTTTAAACTTTTACATACATCGATTCTATGGGAGCAAAATGTAACTGGTGTAAAATATGTAACAGTTCTCATCATTTTTATCTACACAGCACCTTCACCTTACTTTTATCTGCCCATCAGTTAATCCATATAATAAGATCATTTTCGAAGTATATTTTTATTAAAAGTATTTCTAATAGTGTAGTCCTATTATATCTGAGTTGAAAGGAAAACGTTTTCCCCACAATTCTCATTCCCAACAATAAAAATTGTTTCACCATTCTCCGAAGAGGTGAGTTCACCTTGCGCAGAAATGGATAATATTTTTTAATCAAGAAATTAACTTTCCCGTTTAAAGTTTTGCTTAAATGGAACCGCGTTAAGAATAGAAGAAGAGAGCGTAAAGGATCGTTATTATCAATAGAACGGCGAGCGGGTTAAAAACCATGTGGGTGTTACTCTTAGCGTTCACGAGAAACTTATTTATAGCCCTGAGACGATCTGACACGTTAACTAGTCACTTGCACCGTGTTAAGCAAGAAAGAGAAAGGCCGATCATTACCTTTTCTTAGAACTAACCGCCTTCACGTCCAAGGTTTATTGTGCTCTTTATTTAAACAAACGCTTATTTATGAAACCTTTAAAAATTTCCGTTTGCTTTTTTGAATGTGCACGAGACTTTTATAACAAATTAGAATTTAATTTGAAGACAAGTATATATTTAGTAAAAATAAATAGACACAAGTTAAAGTTACATTCATCTTACAGCTTCTAATCTGCTTTAAACAGTCAATTTACTTCCTAATGGCTCAATAATAAGTGACTAGTGAATTACTGCAGGTAAGTTATCGCCGTTTAATTAATATTGTAATAATCAACTGAATTCCAAAACAAAGCAGTACTAAATTAAGAGTACTCAAACACAATTTTATTGAATTGTAATCTGTGGGAACAAACTATTAATATACGAGAGTCACTCTGAAATTTTTGAGATACACATAGTTTTTTTAAGTTATATTTACGAAGTTTTAAAAGTGCTCAAAGTATCCATTATCTATACACTTCTGTAGACGAATTTTTCAAATATTAAATGTCTCAAACCATTCATTTTTTAAAATCGATGAGAAAAATGCATTTATAATCTCATTAGTCCCATCTTCGGAATGAAAACGACGTCCACGTACGTTCCTTTTTAGATTAACAAATAGCCAAAAGTCACACTAGCTATGTCCGGTGAAAGGATGGATGCTGCATAACGTTGATGTAGAGGGTGGTTACAATTAAAGTTCCACTTTAAGGTGGTCATAAAAGGAAAACTCCTGGACCAAATGTTATCAAACTTGGCAATTGTGTAAAGGAGGTCATGGGAATTTATTTTCCGCGGAAAAAAAGTTCTAAAACTCACCACCAGGGGGAAATGGTGCTGTATTAGCTCTTAGCATATTTGCATAAATCATTTGCTTCTTCCTTCCGTAAGCCAATTACAAGCGATTGTGGTTTTGCCTAACCTCACAAACAGTTTCGTTTTAGAAACGATTAAAAACGTTTTAAAGCGATATCATCATGTCTTAGAGCCGAATTCAGGCTTCAAATATCACAAATTAGAGATCTGTAAGAAAACGACTTCCGGAATGCGCACACGTTTGCAAATGATTTGCCATCTCACATTTTCCAATCGCTAATTTGTAGTTTTCACGGACGGATTTTTCCGTTACACGAATGATTCACTCGACTTTTATCGCCTTCAAATCGTAATTTTATTTAGGTCAGTGTTTCTTAAGCGTATACAACATATGAAACCTGTGTAACAAAAGGTTAAGTTAGATACAGACTCTTATTTCGTTTAACAATATTGCATACAGCGCCATTTCTCCTCTGGTGGTAAGTTTTTGAACTTTTTTCGCGGAAACTAAATTCCTATGACCTCCTTTATACGATTACTAAGTTTAATAACATTTGATCCAGTAGTTTTTCCTTTCATGACCATTTCAAAATGGAACTTTAATTATAACCACCCTGTATTTTTGTTCAAGAAACTCAACTGTCTATCTTGCTGAATGAGATGATGCATTGTTATAGTGGAACATGGAGTCCTCTAACATTCACTTCTTGAAAAATTCTGCAAGACACTTCGTTGGTGTACCAGTTAACTGTGATTATGTGTACCAGTTAACTTCTAGCATTCCAGCTTGATAGCTTTGACCAGTACCGTACTTTTGAAGAAAACATTACATTTTCATGGCACGTTGCCTTTTCACCATTGTGGGCGAGAAATCATCTGCAAAATACTTATCCTTTACTTTCTTCACGTGTTGTTACGTCAAAAAATGATATGTGCGTTTCATCATCAGTTACGATTTTAGAAATAATGCAGGGGCCACCATCTTCAAATAATTTAAGGGTTTAGTTACTGATTCTGACACGCTCCTTTTTTTTTTTTTTTTGGTGCTCAATTAAATTATGAGGAACAGTTTTTTCATATGCAAGTCTTCATGAATAATTTTATGTATGGCAGCGGATCCAATGTTAAATTCCTTCTGTATCATTTGGTAGGTGCAGCGATTATCATCGATTAGCATTTTCCGTACGACAGACACATAACCCGGGATTACTGCTGAAAACGGCCTTCCTCTGTGTTCTTAATCATGAAGAGAATTGCGATTTCTGTGAAATTCTGTAAACCATCTAAATACAGTAGCACGAGATGAATCTCCGTTTCCAAATGCTAACTGTAGACTTTGAACGGATTCTTCTTGATTTAATCCCGCTTTAAAAACATAATTTGTAATAAGAATAATAGCGTGATAATGTTCTCGCGTCAACTCTATTTTTCGTTCTGCCTAAAATTTATTCTACGTTAACCTACTTGGAATTGGCTGATAAAAAATCGTCTGCTAGGCTAAAATAACTCATATTTTCATATCGAACAGTTAATTGTTTTTTCTGCCACTCCTACGAACATCTCAAAAATTCCAGAGTGATCTCCATATACATCGCTCTTTGTAGTGCAGTAGCAAATTTTAAGCGACTTAAATCTTCTAAAATTACAACACAACTATTTCTTCCTAGATTATATATTTCGACTCGGATTCAAATCCCGTCCAGAAGGCAGGATGTATGGCAAAGCGGCCTATCATTAATTTCCGTTTTTTCGCAAGGAAGCTCTTCCAACTTTGAACTCTTTAATGTTTCTTCAAAAAATATATTAGGATCTGTTGATCCAGAAATAATAATAGTGAAAAATCAAACTGCTAATATTCTATAGATAAGTAGTTAAAAACTGTTAAATCCAATGAGATTTAATGAGTGCTACTGAAGATTTTCCAGACTTTCAAAATGCAGGTCTGCCCCACCAGCGGCCGAGCGGTAAAGTCGCTGAACACTGGTAGTTCGGTCCGAAGTTCGAATCCCGCGAACGGGCTGGCTGCATGGGTGTTTTCGTGATTTTTTCCATGTGTAACGTGTATACGAGCCAGTTTCCCTTAGAAAGTCCTCCACGAAGGAATCCCTCCCCTTAGGCAGATAGCCCTAGTATGCTTTGCCATAATTAAATACACCAAAATGCAGGTCTGAAAATTTGGAAAGTCATCAGTATGATCTATCCAAGCAGCGAAAATATAAAATGACAAACGAAGGGATAAAAAAGAAAGATAAATATTCTGGCTACCAATACACACTAACTACAAATAAAAGGATGGCGAAAAATGATGGAAACTTATGCTTTGGAAAATTGGGTCAGTATAAAAAAAATTCTAAACTTCATTATCTTACAGCAAAAAGCTCTCTCTTATTGTAATCGCTTTAGCGCAGTGAAAATTGGTCGACACTTTATGTGATAATAAATGCGTTGACTACGGTTTGAATGTGAGGCACAGTAAAATAATCATCAAAGCAATCTCTGCACCATTTGCAAAAAGCAAACTGAATTGAATAAAATATACAAAATTCAAGGCCGAGAGCGGCCGATTATTGAAACCGCTGAACGCAAGTAATCCGACAGGGGTTTGAATCCCTGCGAGCGGTGTGGTTGCATGACATTTTGTTCTTTCCATATGAAATACAGATATTAGCCATTTTCCCTCAAAAAAGATCCTTCGTATCTTCCCTCTCCCCCCGATGCCTAAATTTTTACCGTGCTTAAATTTATTTTGGCCACGTTACAAGATATATTTTCGCTCTCTTTTTCGCCACGCCAGAATTTTATTTCCTTTTCCCTGTGGTCTCCTGAGACTTTTCGGTTCGCTTTCGATTCATTATTTGACGAAACATATGTGAATTCGCATTTAAATATGTTATCTGATTAGTTTTCAGAATCAGTCCCTTAATTGATGAGGCGAAGATTTCTTTTATCTCTTTAAGAATCGTAATTTTTCTCCGGTTTATAGTCTTTTAAAACCTTAGAAATGATGTTTTGCTATTTAATAGCCTCTTGCATAAATCTGTTAATTTCAAACACTGAGCTGTATAACCTTAAACCAATGTTTGGATCGCACTGTATGCATTTATCTCAAATAAAGACGTTCTATTGAATTGAAAGTTTAATCCTTTGTCTTCATAGTTTTTAGATTTTGGAGCAACAAACATAACTGCAAGTTAAAATTATGTTATTTACGGTTTTCAAAAACAGAAAAACTTGCAAAAAACTGAGAACAGTTGGACAGTCATTAGTTTTTTTTTTTTTTTTTTTTTTTTTTTTTTTTTTAAGCAGGAGTACATGAAAAATATGGGCTATCGAATGAACAGAATATTTACAGCGCATGGAATCTTGAGGAAAAGTTAGCTTTTGATGATTAGAGTATTTACTTTTTTTTTTTAGCTTCTCAGTTTAATTTTTTTCCCTGTTGTTTTAATGGCTAGGAATTTTCGGCTAAGGCAAGTTTCCAAAGGCTTTTTGTAGACTGCAAATTTAAAAATAAATCTATAGAAATTTAGTAGTTAGTTTCAACTTAAATTCTTTCTTTTTGAGTATTTAGAATCAACTGTATCTTCTCTACCCCCAAATTAGTTCAAATTTCAGATATAAGTGCAGACCACAGCCCTCTTGAGAAATTGAGGAAGTGTTTTCCATAAAACTGAAGTTATTGGAAATAACGCAATGCACCGAAAACTGGAAATGTTTCTCCTCATTTAGAAGTGTATAATATTAAAAGAATTAATTACTAAGTGAATAAGAAACGGAAAAATTTCAATTCTAATTATACATGGCGAAACACTATTTTACGAAATTTTAAAATTCTGCCAAATTTTGTCTGATAATTTGCCATTGGTTATCAAAACCTCTATATTTAATATTTTTTGGATGATGTATAGAAAATTGGCAGCTAATATTTTTATTATTGTGTATTTCTAGATGAATATGCATGCATATATATCATATGTTTCAATATTTCTACCATTTATTATTCTTTTTCCTTGTTGTTTGTATTGGGTTTTTTCTGTTATTACTTTGTTCGTTTTCAATTTTTATTACTTTAAATGATAGGGTCGCGCATAGGGCAATTGTATCGTTACCGAAAATATTGAGATGAGTTTCGGTTTATTTTGAATTGTTAGTTTAAGGGTTTGTTTCGGTTTCTTGAGATGAGGAAACGCGCTTTTTATGAACTGTGGATGGTGGCATGGAGAGATTCCGATTCCCCTTGAAGTCGGCGTCTGTCTATGGACCAGCAATGATTCTTTTGTCTTTCCTATTGCTTTTCCTTTATCTTTCCACAATAGTGCACATTATTTACATTATATTATTCTACTACTTTTCTTTCATTTTTCGACAATAATGCATATTAGCTTTAAAAAATGTTTCTTTTTTTATCTTTTTTGTCACATTAGTGCACTTCTGAATTCTAAATTTCACTTCGGATTTCCTAGGAAATAATTTTCTTTAATTTTCTCTATTGGTATGTAAGGGTTATCCTAAGTTTTTAACAGATAATGTTTAGTTTAAGCCACTTTCCTATCGCTTCTTAATTTCAGCTTACAATTTCCGGCCAGAACGTATTTTTAGAATCGCGGTTAAATGCAAATGAAGAAGGAACAAGTATTTAAAGCTGAAGTTCTACTGACTTCGTTAGCGAGCCAGAGATTCTGAGCAGCTCGCGTTCGCCTTTTGGCTATACCCTCTCATAAACTATTATTTCGCTCGGCCATACTTTAGGCCCTTGATAGCTTCGCGTTAGTTAGCGTTAAGGGGCTGGTAGAATCTTGATAGCTTCGGCTATATCATTAAGTATGATTAAGTTTTATTTCTTAGTATTCCTGAGTTCAAGCCCAAGTGGTGGCTTTGCTGTAAACTCCAAGAAGGAGTCGACTGTTAAATTTATTTTGAATAATAAAGGGTATTTAACCCATCTTGAGTTCAGCTCTCTGTCTACTGAACTAAGCGATTATTCGCTTACCAGTTCTTAAAGGTTCCTCATTTTTAGCTGTAACTCAAAGGTAGGAATCT